GTGCTGTCAAACCGATTCCAACTCACAGGCTTTTTCTGTTTTACACTCAGGCTTTTGGAGGCTTACATTTTTACGGGAGCAGAAAGTTTCAACCTTCTCCCACAGAGCAGCTGGTGAATTCGAACTGTTGACCTTGTGGTTAGCAGTTCAATATGTGATCCATTACACTACACAGACAAGCAGGGTTTCTTGTCTCTTGTGTTGCTGCAGTTGTTAGGTGCTGATGAGTCAGTTCCGACTCATAGCAACCCTATGCCCAACAGAAGGAAATACTGGGGTGCTTGTCCCTACAGATGGGCCATTACTGACACGGGAATCACAAGCACACGCCTCCCTGTGAGCTCAGCTGTGTGTTAAGGTTGACTTCCCCACAGGAAGGCCTACTTCAGACACTGCACTCAGGAGTTTTGTTCATACAAAGTAGTTTTTATAAAAATAAGAAAGAAAACCTTAGCCCAATGTGAACTATTCATTAAAACAAAAACAGTAACAATCTGGATTTCTGGCTTTCTTGAAAAATCAGGAGATTGATGAGTAAAACCAACACTCCCACAGAGGAACAAAGGGCTGGAGCTCAAAGGTGACACCTTCCGTGGGTGAAGCACACTGTCTCCTGCTCCCCACCTCCAACTCACACTTGGTTTCCGTTCTGTACCAGGCTCCTGAAGAGTTGGCCTGGCAATTCTACTGAGGGATGGCCTTAGAGTTTTTCTTCAAGAAGTAGCCTCTTTCTGGGTGTTACCTAAACAAGTGGGTATATGTTGTTGTTACATGCCGTCCAATTGGTTCCTCACAACTGTTGCTACACTTGAGCCCGCTGCTGCTGCTATGGTGCCAATCCATCTCATTAGGGGTCTTACTCTTCTTCACTGACCCTTCACTTTTCCAAGTATGATGCCCTTCTCCAGGAACTGATCCCTCCTGAAAACATGTCTGAAGTATGAGAAATGAAGTCTGGCCATCCTGGCTTCTAAAGATTGTACGTTCTCTTTAAGCTTCTTCCAACACAGATCTGTTTGTTCTTCTGGAAGTCCATGGTACTTTGAATAGTTTTCTCCAACACCATAACTCAAATGCATCAATTCTTCTACAGTCTTCCTTATTCATTGTCCAATTTTCAAATGCATGTGAGACAACTGAAAATGCCATGGCTTGAGTCAGGTTCACCCTAGTACTCAAAGGTATCTTTGCTCTTTAGCACTTTAAAAAAGTTTTGTGTAGCAGATTTGCCTAATGGAGTAGGTCATTTGATTTCCAGCATGATACTGCTATGAGTGTTGACTGTGAATTCAAACAAAATGAAATCGTTGACAACTTTAACCTTTTCTCCACTTATCATGATGATATTTATTGGTCCAGTGCTGAGGATTTTTGTTTTTTTTACATTGAGGTGTAATCCAGATAGAAGGCTGTATTCTTTGATCTCATCAGTAAGTATTTTAAGTCCTCTTTGCTTTCAGTAAGCGAGGCTGTATCATCTGCATGTTGCAGGTTGTTAATTAGTCTTCTTTTAATCCTGATGCCATGTTCTTTATAGAATCCAGCTTCTTGAAAATTTGCTCAGCATACAGACTAAGTATGCTGAAAAGATACAACCCTGGCACACACCCTTCCTGATTTTAAAACATTTAGTATCCCCTTGTTCGGTTTGAACGACTGCCTCTTGTACTATACGTATTCCTTAAGAGCAAAATCAAGTATTTTAGAATATTCATTCTTCACAACGCTGTCCATTTTCTGTTATGATCCAGAGAGTCAAATTCCTTTACAAAGTTAATAAAGCACAAATAAACATATGTCTGGTATTCTCTGATGTCAGCAATGATATCCCTCATTTCATTTCCTATTTTTAATTCAGCTTGAATATCTGGCGGTGCCTTGTGGATGTACTACTGCAATCATTTTTGACTGATCTTTGGCAAAATTTTACATGAATGTGATATTAATGTTATCGTTCAATGGTTTCTGCATTCTATTGGGTCACGATTCTTTGGAATGGGCACAAATATGGATCTGTTACAATCTGCTAGCCAGGTAGCTGTATTCTAAACATCTCAGCATAGGTAAATGAATGCCTCCAGTGCTGCATTAGTTTGTTGAAACATTTCAATTTGTATTTTCACCAATGCTTTAAATGCTGCTTAGACTTCCTGCTTCAGTACCATCAGTTCTTTTTTTTTTTTTTTTAATGTTTTCTTGTGAATTATATGATAGTTTACATGGGAGAACACTGGTTTTACATTCATTCTATCGTATATTGTCTCATTGCCATGGTTACAATCCCCTCCATGCAATGACAATAAATCTTTATAGGAGCAGAAGGCCTTATTTTTCTCCTAAGGAGCAGCTGGTGATTTCGGACTGGTAACTTTTACATCACCAGGGCTCCTTAAATGGATGGTAACTCACTGCCATGAATGAGAACTTGATTCCAACTCCTAGCTACCCTATGTAGGGCTTCCTAGGCTGCAAATCTTTATGGGAGCAGAAAGCCTCCTCTTTCTCCTGTAAAGCAGCTGGAGGGTTTGAAATGCTGACCTTGTAGTTAGCAGTCCAATGGGTAACCCACTAAGCTACCAGGGCTCCTTTCAATGGATGCTATTATTGTTGGTAAGTGCCATCAAGTGGGGTTTTAACATAGATTTTTTTTTTTTTTAATGTTTTATTGTGAATTATGTGATAGTTTTACATGGGAGAACATTAGTTTTACATTCATTCTATCGTATATTGTCTCTCATTGCCATGGTTACAATCCCCTCCATGCCCTCCTTCCCCCCCGTGCCCCCCAGGTCTTCAGCACACAGTCGCTCTCCCTCTCTGGATCTAAAGTCTCCAGCTGCTCCATCGCTCCACGGCATCATCTCTGGCAGTACCATCAGTTCTTGATCATATGATACCTTTGCAATGATTGAATGTCGACCAACTCCTTTTGGTACAGTGACTCTGCATGCCTTCCTTCTTTTGATGTTTCCAGCTTGATTCAATATTTTGCTCAAAGAATCCTTCAATATTTCAAGTTGAGGCTTGAATTTTTCCTTCAGCTCTTTCAGCTTGAGAAAATACTAAACACGATCTTCCCTTTTGCTTTTCTAACTCTTGGTTTTGCACATTTCATATTTAACTTTGTCTTCTAAGCTGCTTTTGAAAATTTCTGTTCAGCTCTTTTACTTCATTTCTTCCACTCACTCTAGCTTCTTTAATCTCAACAATAAAGAGTGTGGCACTATAGGGTTAGCACTACATCGCAAGGTCAGTTTGATACACAAGGGTGGCGGTTCAAGCCCACCAGCCACCCCTTGGAAACCCTATACAGGGTTGCTATGAGTCAGAACAGAGTCGATGACACTTAACAACAATAACTCTCAAGAGCAAGTTTCAGCATCTCTTCTGACATCTACTTTTTCTTTTTTTTCTGTCTTTTTAATGACCTTTTGCTTTCTTTATGTACGATGTTATCTTATGATTTTCAGCCATTAGTGTATAATGCATCAAATCTGTTCTTGAGATGGTCTCTAAATTCAAGTAGGGTATATTCAAGGTGGCTCTATAGGATTAGCACTGAACTTGGAGCCTTAAGGTCAGCAGTTCCAACCCATCAGCTGCTTCTTGGAAACTCTATACAGGGTCACTGAGTGGGAACCGACTCAACCACACTTAACCATAACAACAACATATTCAAGGTCATATTTGGACTCTCATGGACTTGTTTGAATTTTTCAAGTTTCAGCCTGAATTTGCAGATGAGCAATTGAAGGGCTGGTTCCACAGTCTGCCCTGGCCTTGTTTTGGCTGATGATAGTAAGTTTTTCAACTACTCTTCCCACAGATGTAGTCAATTTGGTTCCTGTATATTCCATCTGGTTAGGTCCTGGTGAATTTTGTTGAAAAATGGTATTTGCAATGAATTAGTCATTGGTCTTGCAAAATTCTATCATGTTATCTCCAGCATTGTTTTTATCACCAAAGCCTTATTTTCCAATGATTGATCCTTCCTTGTTTCCAACTTTGGCATTCCAATCACTAATAATGATCAATGCAATCTTGATTGCATGTTTGATCAATTTCAGACTGAAGAAGTTAAGAAACTTTTTGTTTTTGTTGTATGCTGTCAAGTCAGTTCCAACTCACAGCAACCCTGTATAGGATTTCTGAGGAATGACTGCTTAGTCTGAACCACTGACCTTGCAGTTCAAACCGACCTTGAGGTCTAGTACTTACCCTACAGTGCTGCAATTTCAGTATTAACTGGTCTTCCTTGCTGGTATATGGATATGATCCTATCACAGAGAGCTTTGTACTTAAAGACAGATGTTGAAATGTTCTTTTTGACAATGAATGCAATGCTATTCCTCTTGAATTTGTTATTCATGACATAGCAAACCACGTTACTGTCTGACTCAAAATGACCAATACCAGTCCACTTTACTTCACTATTGCCTAGGATATCGATCTTTATGCATTTCATTTTTGACAACTTCCAATGTTCTTAGATTCACACTTTGTACATTCAGCATCCTATTATTATATGTTTTGCAGCTGTTTCTTCTCATTTTGAGCTGTGCCCCATCAGCCAACGAAGGTCCACAAGGCTTAACTACATCCACAGCATTAAGGTTAACTCTACTTGCAGAGGCAACTCTTCCCCAGTCCTTTGTGGAGTGTCATCCAACCTGAGAGACTCACCTTCCAGCACTAAAGCTGACAATGTTCGGCGGCTACTCCTAAGGTTTGCAGTGGCTAACCCTTCAGGAGTGGTTCCGCCTCTCCTTCTAACCTGTCTTAGTCTGGAACCTCTGCTGAAACCCACGCACTCAGAGTGACCCTATTGGTATTTAGCTTCCAGCAATCAGTAATACACAAGTCACCACAGTACGACAAACTGAGACACCAGTGGTGGAGTGGGCATATATTTGTACCCATTGCTCCAGGAATCTGTTTTCTACCTAGAATTCCAGGAACAGACCCACAGGTACCCCCCCCCCCCAGCAGAGCAGCCTCACCTGCCCACTCCAGCATGTCCTCAATGTTCTCTGCTGCCCCAGGCACAAGGCGTGTCTGATCTGTGTCCTCCAGTCTCAGGATGAAGCTGCCTTGGTGTTTCTTGGCAAAGATGTAATTGTACAGGGCAGTGCGGAGGCCACCCAGATGCAAGAAACCTGATGGAAGAAGACAACAGAAAGACCAAGCCAGTGAGGTGGTGGGCCTCTGCTTACAACAGAAAACTAACTCCATGAATTCCAAAGCCCAGGAAATGACCGCCCTGTGCCCTCTCTCCGACCAGCCAGAGAACTCAAGGGGTCCACTCGATTGCTCCCTAAGCCTTATCTTTCCCCCAGGGAGCGGCCGGTGGGTTTCAGTCACTGACTTTAGCATGGGCAGCTCAGCACTAAACCCATTGCACCACCAGAGCTCCTTATTACAACTAAGAACAGGCAAAGCCAGAGATGGAGAGACCACCTGGGTTTTGGAGCAGGTCATTTTGTAAAAAGGCACCAACTCTCCCAAACTGCACCGGTCACTTCACGCTGACATCCGGAAGCCACTGAAGGCAGTGAGCTCCTGGAGGCAAAGGCCCCCCAGGAGAAGCAGAGGGGCCCACATGGAGCCGCACCACCGGGCATTAACACTGGAGTACAATGATGCGCTCTGGGTACAAAACTTACCTGCAAATGACAACTGCTGCAAAATCCCAGTTCACACTTGTACACTATGCACCATCTGTGACTGCCCCGGTCTACATTTATCATATACATGCACTACAGTGTGTCATGGCATGGACTTAAAAATATACACATATTTTATTGTGTCTTTGGTAAAAGTTGACACAGCAAATTAGGTTCCCATTTAACAATTACTACACAGATTGTTCAAAGGAGCCCTTGGTGGCAGGGAGGGTTAAGTGTTTGGCTGCTAACTCCCGAGGAGTGAGTTCAACCCACCAGCTACTCGTCGGGAGAAAGCGAAGGCAGTCTACTTCTGTAAAGTCACAGCCTTGGAAACCCCAGGGAGCGGTCCCACTGTCCTGTAAGGTCGCTATCAGCTGGCACCTCCTAGATGGCAGGAGACTTGCTGACACAATTCTTTCATGACAATGGTTACATTTTTCACAATGTGTGAACATTCTCATTCATTCCACTTACGATGCTTCACGTCTAGTAATCTGGTTTCTCTGTCCCTTTACCCTTTCATCTTTGCTTTAATTGTTGAGTGTTCGGCCTCACATAGATGATTTTTGTTCTTCTGGAAAACATATGATGTCCTGGAATGGCGCTAACCACAGGACTGCAAACCACAAGCTCAGTGGTTCGGACCCACCAGCCATTCCTTGGAACCCTATACAAGGTCACTATGAGTCAGAACGGACTAGACAGCACTTATCAACAACCTAGGGTGTATATTTATTTAGTCAGTTAATCTGTAAAGGAGCTCTGGTAGCGTAGTGGTTACAAATCGGGCTGCGAACCACAAGGTCAGCAGTTCGAAACTACCAGCTGTTCCACGGGAGAAAGATGAAGCTTTCTGCTCCCGTAAAGATTTACAGCCTAGGAAACCCTGTACAGGGTCGCTATGAGTCGGAACCGACTCCACGGCACACAACAACAACAACAATCTGTATTAACTAACCAAACGCTCTCAGGGAGACCTCTCTGCTTAAGAAAACTGGAGGGGCCCACTGTGGGGCAGTTACAATGATGCTGTTCTTTAAAAAACTGGGTCAAATGTACACATCAAAACGTTCGCAGCTTCCACGGTTACAATTCAGTGTCAGAGATTACAGTTAATACTAATGCTGATCAAAGTACATCCTCAATTCATTTTAGCTATTTATCTAGGATAAACACAGGATGGCTAACCACAAGGTCAGAAGTTCACACCCACTAGTCACTCTGCAGGAGAAAGATGAGACGTTTTGCTCCTGTAAAGATTTACAGCCTCACAAAGCCTATACAAGGTCCCTATGAGTCAGAACCAACCTGACATACCTAACAACATGGGAGTCTTGGTGTGGCGCTGCAGGGTAATGCACTGGACCACAAAGTCAGTTTGAACTTCAAGGCTGCCGTTTCAAACTCACCAGCTGTTTCTTGGAAACCTTATACAGGGTTGCTACGACTCAGAATCAACTGGACGGCACTTAACAACAACAAAATACATTAATATGGAGTCTTGGTGTGTCGCTGCAGGGTAATGTTCTGAGCAGTAAAGTCAGATTGAATCGCGAGGTTGATGGTTCAAACCCATCAGACGCTCCTCAGAAATACAGGGTCCCTATGAGTCAGAACCGACTGAATAACACTTAACAACAACCACCTGTTGCTTGACAATTCTTTCATTTGTCTGCAGTCAGCAGCCTTTCCGGGCAAATCAGCAAGAAGATCCGACTGATAACCATAATACGGTTACTGTTTAATTAGTTGTTGTTGCTAAATATAGGTGAGTCAGTTCCAACTCATAGCCACCCTGTACAGGGTTTCCAAGGAGCGGCTTGAGTTTGAACTGCCAACATTGTGGTTCAAATGGGCCTTGCAGTCCAGTGCATTCTCCTACAGCGCCTCGTGCCATGCTCTGTTAAGTAAGTGCCTTACCTGCAGTAGCTCAATCCCAGGAGGTGGGTACTATTAGTAGTTTTGACAGATGGTAAAACTGAGTCTCAAAAAGGTTAATTAATTTGCCCCCATTACACAACTTCCACCACCCACCCACGGCAACTGCCCCACTTCTGCCTCAGGGCAACCTTGTGGGGGCAGAGTCTAATTGTTCCACAGGCTTTCCCAGATGGTACATCTTTATAGGAACAGACAGAAGATGCTTTCTCCCAGGGGGTGCCACTGGGTTTGAGCCATTGACCTTTCAGTGAGCAGCCCAGTGCTTAATCCACTGTACCACCAGCACGTCTTATTACACAATTAGGAATTGGCAAAGTCCCATCTGTGAACCCAGACAGTCACAGGCCTTGGCAACTAATTTCTACATACATGTCACTTGAGTGGAACAAAGCATTGTTGGTCAGCCATTTGTGAACAAGTACAGAAATTATGAGTGCTTACTCGATGGTACTTAACAACAACAACATAAATGGTCACATGGAGTCCTGGTGTGCTGTAGCACTTGGCTAGAAGGTCGGTTTGAATCGCAGTCCGTGGTTCAAACTCACCAGATGCTCCTTGGGAACCCTATAGAGGGTGGCCAACAACATAAACATTTACAGCATTTGACATAGTAATTATGTCTTGAATCTTATTTAAAAAAAGAAAAAGCTCATTATTTCATGTTTTTCATTTTTTCTAACAATTCACTTATATCCATTTTAGAAAATTATTAATCCACGATCAAGTAGAAATTACATACCAATCAATCCTTCAACATGGATAGCTTGAGAAGCACTGCTCTAGTTTACACAGTCTGCCAGAAAGTATCCTATCTCCTTGTGAAGCTGAAAACTGGACAAGAAAACAGTCTTATATGGGGAGGGGGTAAAGCGCCTGGTAAAAGGAGCTCGGGTAGCGTAGTGGTTACCAGTCGGGCTGCCAACCCCAAGGTCAGCAGTTCCAAATTACCGGCGGTTCCGTGGGAGAAAGATGAGGCTTTCTGCTCCCGTACAGATTTATAGCCTTGGAAACTCTGTACAGGGTCACTAAGAGTCAGAACCGACTCGACGGTACTTAACAACAACAATCTGGGGCCTTGGTTCAGAATCGGAGGCAGACACGATGAGGCCAGAAAAGAACTGGGGGAACCGATTGGGAGGCCCCGATTCTGCCTTTTTCTCCGGCCTCTTTTCCTACTCCTTTAACATTCATCACAGTGTCTTTTCCCAGCAATGTCCTCCACCCAGAAGGTTCCTCCTAAAGGTTTCGTAGTCAGTTTCTCGTTTTGTCATTAGGTTCTCAGTTCTCATCTCACCTTTCCGAGTATCCTTCTAACTAACCCCTAACCTGCTTCATTTCCCGCACAGCACATGTGACTCTCCAACATTACATTTATTTGTGTACTTGTCTGGGTCACTACAATGCAAGCTTCTTGAGAGACGGGCCCTAAGTTTTCCTTCTCGGTGACCACCGTATCGCAGTGCCTAGGACTTGGCACATGGTTTGTGCTCAACACACATGTACTGGGATAAATGAGGAAATGAGATCGAAAGAGACGGTATAGAACACGATATACACAAAATTTCATTAAATGTCAATGAGTTCGGTCCTGGCGCTCAGCCCAACGCGAGTCGCGAGGCCCGCCAGACAGCCTCTACGGCCAGGATTCGTTCGGTAACATTCGGGGGGGGCGGGGACGGGGACTGCGACCAGCAGCGTCAATGTCCGCCAAGTTACCTGTGGGGCTAGGGGCGAACCGCACTCGCACCGCAACCCCGGAATCACTTCCCAGGCTGGCCTCGTGCCGTCCCAAAGGGCAGCCCAAAGCCGCCGAGGGTCTCCCGGGCCTCAGTACCCGTTTCAGAAGCGCCGCCATTTAAATTGCAGGTGCACACATGGGTTTCTTTGCATCACTTCCGGGTACTCTTCCCAGCCAATCAGCCTCCGCCACAGCTACTACATCCCCGCCCCCTTAAAGTCACAGTTCTCCCTTCTGGAGCATCCACGTCCCCCTTGACTCCTGCAGTCCCAATCTGCCAGTAGGGGGCAGAGCCCTTTGAACCCGCGATTATCCCGGACCCACCCCCTCGGCTCCGGAAAGCTAAAGCGTGGCAGGGGCCGGCCCGGGAAGCGGAGGAGGCGGGTCTCCATAGAAACCTCCACTAGTTTCCGGCCAGGCAGTGCGAGATTAGGGGCTGCTGCGGGGGCCAATCTCAGCCAGCTCGCTTTTCCCAGTGGCCTCTGCGAGAGTGGTGGGTGTTGTACACAATCATCATGGCGGCGGCCGGAACCCCGGATGGTGAGCGCGGAGGGGGTGGCGGGCGCTCGGGTAGGGCTGAGGGGAAGCGGGCGCAGCGCTGCAGGGAGACACGGCTCGGTCTGGGAGGGAGTCACCCGGCCCGAGAGCGGAGCTCTGACGGGGGTCGGGGAGAGCCCGGTCCTTGGCCCAGCCCTCGGCGAGCGCCCACCCCCTAACCCCTTTGCAGGCATGGAGGAACCTGGCATGGACACGGAGGCCGAGACGGTGGCGGCCGAGGCTCCCGCTCGGCCCATCAACTGCGTGGAGGCCAAAGCTGCGGCGGGGGCGGCGGCCGAAGACTCGTGCGCCGCGCGAGGCAGCCTGCAGCCGGCCCCGGCCCAGCCCCCTGGGGACTCTGCGGCCCAGGCTTCGGTCAGCAACGGCGAGGACGCGGGGGGCGGCGCGGGCAAGGAGCTGGTAGACTTGAAGATCATCTGGAATAAGACCAAGCACGACGTGAAGTTCCCCCTGGACAGCACGGGCTCTGAGCTAAAGCAGAAGATTCACTCGATCACAGGTATCTCTCTCGGTGCTGACAGCCAGCCTCCCCACTCCTCGTTCTGGGACTTAACTCTGTGTTGGGGGCCGCTCCCACAAATCCCACAGCAGCCCCCCGAAGTAAGTGTCCCGTGTTTGGATGAGGAAAAGTCACAATCAGTGAGTAAGGAGCTGAACTGGAATTCTAGTCCAGGTCTGAGGAGTAGCCCCAGGCTAGTAACTGGTGATCTTGAGTAAGAATCCCCTTTGCTGGTGTTGTGAAGTGCCATCGAGTCCGTTCCGACCCATAGCGACCCTGTGTAGGGTTTCCGAGGAGCAGCAGGTGAGCTTGAACTGCCCACCATGCAGTTCAAATGGATTTGTAGTCTGGCGCATTAACCCCGAGCGCCACACCAGGACGCCTTAGGCTCCTGTTAACTGTGTACCTCCTAGGTTCTTCCCCCTGGAGGTTCTGATTCAGTGAGTTTGGAATGTGGCCAGGAATTTATTTTTAGCAAATATTTTAGGAAAAAGTACAGGAAGCATTACTTTGGGCTACCATGCTAAAAGGTGTTCCTGTTACTTAACTCTATCTTGTTAATAGCGTTTTGCCCTGTGTAATCACTTTTTTAAAGCTCTCTCCACATAGCCTGTAAGGAGCTCTGGTATACTAGTGGTTACCAGTCAGGCTATTAAAGTCAAGGTCAGCAGTTCAAAACTACCAGTGGTTCTGAGGGAGAAAGATGAGGCTTTCTGTTTCTGTAAAGATTTACAGCCTGGGAAACCCTATGCAGGGTCACTGTGAGTTCCAGAGTTCACAACCACATAGCGTGGAAGGTCTATAGGGCCAGGAACTTTGTGCTTCTTACTGATCTCGGCATCCCTGATGCTGTGGGTGTTGGGTATTTCAGTGATTGAATGCCCAAGAAACAATTTGGAAGGCATGGTAGCTAATGTTTATTGAGGAGGCAGTACCCGTGGTACAAATGAGATTTAGTTCCCTCTTTAATAAATTGTAGGTAAATCAGAACAGGTGTTGTTGTTAAGTGCCGTCGAGTTGATTTCAAACCATAGCGACCCTGTATATGGTTTCCAAGGAGCAGCTGGTGAGCTTGAACTGCCGACCTTGCAGTTCAAATGGATTTGTAGTCTGACGCGTTAGTCCACAGCTCCATAAAGAGTCCTGGTATAGTGCTGTGGGTTAATGTGCTGGACTTCAAGGTCAGTTTGAACCACACGGTTGGCGGTTTAAGCACATTACCTGCTCCTCAGAAACCCTATACAGGGTCGTTATGGGTTGGAACCAAGTTGGTGTCACTTAACAACAATAAACAAACCTTAAGATAAGGAATCCTCATCTTGGTGTCCGTGGGTAGCACAAATGATTAAGTGGCTACTCAGTCCACGTTCACTGAGCAACACCTTGGAAGGTAAGCATAGTAATTAACTTCTTAAAATCAATCATTGAAAATCCTACAGGGCTCAGTTCTTTGACGCACTCATGTGGGGTCATCATGAGTTGGTATCGACTTGATGGCAACTTGTGGTTACCATCTATAGTGTAAAGTTGGATCCTGAGAGCTTGTGAATTGCCGCACTGCACACAGCTCATGAGTGGGGGAGCCTGTGTTTACTACCGGGGCTGTTGCCAAGAGGCTCTACATCCACGTACATTTACTTCCTTTCATTGTCTGCCTTTCCCAAGGTCTCCCACCTGCCATGCAGAAAGTCATGTATAAGGGACTTGTCCCCGAGGACAAGACATTGAGAGAAATCAAAGTGACCAGCGGGGCCAAGATCATGGTTGTGGGCTCCACGATAAATGACGTTTTAGCAGTAAACACACCCAAAGATGCTGCCCAGCATGACTCAAAGGCGGAGGAGAACAAGAAGGAACCTCTCTGCAGGCAGAAAGTAAGTGCTTTGAGGTGCTTGGTCCTGGGGACTTGGAGGCTTTGTCCTCTCAAGTGTTGGCTGGCTACAGCCCGAGAATAAGCTCCTTTTTGGACAGGGCCCATGATGGAAATTTATGGCAGCAATTGGGTGCAGCTGACTATTGAGTGGAGGTGACAACTACCTGAGATTTGCAACTTGTCTCATCTGGCGGGTCAGTGTGTCTCAAGTCTACCTACTGTAGGAAAGGCAACTTTCAGACTAGATACTGACAGGAATCACTTACTGATTTCTCAATTCTGTTCATTGCCATAAAAATTGCCATTCCTGGAATTAAGTCCCCATTTTGCCCAAGTGCTTAAGTTTGGTTTTGGTTGGTGGCTTTCCCCAATCAACAAGCCCAGTTCTTAGTAGGCAGGGAAATCACGGCTTTCAGAGGTTCCTCTAAAACTTGACCCTTTCAGGAAACCACACAGAACTGACTAGGAAGATAACTAAACTGATTTTTTTTTTTCCTCCTCCTGACCCAAGAAATGGGGATGTGATTTTTCACATTCTGGGCTGCTCATTTGGATGAAAGGGATCCAACTTGCTGTGAGTGCATCATATAAGCATCAGTGCTCTTTCTGTAACTAGGAGAGTGGCAGTTGACTGTAGAAGGGCAGGCCGGGACGAGCAGACTGTGATCTCGTCACCCAGCAACCCCTACTCTGGGTAGTGTTCCAGAAGAACAAACACAATTTAACCAGGGTGTCCCCAGGGGAGTAACCATCTGGAACCAACATGTGTTTCAGTGACCTTGGGCACCAGAGCATATGGTCACCAGCGTGGGTTGTGCACAATCTTGACCAACAAGTGCATGATCCCTATTCAGGTTTCTAGAACCCAAAAAACAAATGTTTTCATAAGTTTGGAAAAACCTGACCAAAAATGACAGACTGGTTTTTAGTTCCATTGTCACAATGAATGTAAACATTCTTGTTTTGTTACAGAAATACTGTTTGGTAACATGGGGGTATTATGTGTAATATTTTAAAATCATATTGCCTTTGTAAAACTTCCAAAGCACTGAATTACCACACAGTTGTCTATAAGGAGTTCTGATTAGGGCTTGTAGACCTGTGTTAATATCTCAGTGGTGTTTATTTAGACACTTCCCCCTCAGTATGGGGTTAGTATGTCTTGTAACCCTTTGGGTTCAATTTCATTTTCCTGTCTTTCTCTGCCACATGTGTGAAGTGGTCACCTATGACCATGTCAGATGTGAGAAGGTGTTCACACCCTTTGAGCATAACATGCCTCTTAAATACAGGTTTTAAATTACTACTGGTAGTTTAACTGCTCTTCGCAATGTAGGGAAACGTCATCAGAAGTACTTGTAAGCTATGATTCAAGTCAAGCTTCAAACTTGTGCTGCTGTGTTCCATTGGTGCCAGTCACAAGAGGCACCCGGTTCCCTGGCGTCCTGTCCACTTCTCTCTGTTCTGGAGGTTGACTGTCCCTGCTGGTGGTCTGCCGTGGTGAGCCCATTCCTACCAGAGGCTTCCTCCTGTACACTAAGGGTTTGAACTGGCTTGTGGCCGGCCACCTGATGCTTAAAGACAATTAAATGTTTACCCTCTGCCCACTCATTGCTTCACCAAGCAGTGAGTCTACCCATAAAGACAGAGGTGGAGAGGATACAAAACTCGAGTTGTTTGGGCCAGGCAAGAAAGCTATTTAAGGAAGCCTTGAGAATGATGCTTAGAACACTTCCTATAATGTCAAGCTATTAGAAAGTCATCAGTGTTTGTTTGGAAACTTGGCTTTGGAGCTTCCTGTTCAGCTGGGATTGGAAAACCCCTGCCCTGAGATAACTGCCTAGTTGTCATGATGAAATGCTTCTTCCAGGCAGTTGTACTGATTACCAGCATCAATGTAGTTTCCTTGAGATTTTAACTGGACAGAAGTGACTTGTCATTTTACAAGTGGCAGCAAAGCCTACCACCCTTTGTGGCTCTCTTTAGATTAAGAATCCTTTCAGTGGAGATTGGGGTGAGGGTAGGAGTGGGGAGTAGAGCTTATTTGGTAGCAGTCTGGAATTCTTTTTATTCTAGAACTGCCATGACTAATACCGTAGTGACATGTTGTTGTTAGGTGTCATCAAGTCACTTCCGACTCAAAAGTGACCCTGTCAGGCACAGTAGAATGAAACACTGCGAGGTCCTCACAATTCTTCTTACATTTGAGGACATTGCTGCTGTCTTCCTCTCTTTCACTGACTCTCCACTTTCCCAAGCATGATGTCCTTCTCCAGGGATTGGTCTCTCCATGTCCAACAGATGAGAGACAAAAGTCGTGCCATCCTGGCTTCTAAGGAACGTTCTGGCTGAACTTTTCTATCACAGATTGATTTATTCTTCTGGCATTCCATGGTACTTTTTTTTTTTTTTTTTTAATGTTTTATTGTGAATTATGTGATAGTTTACATGGGACCATGGTACTTTCAATGTTTTACTCCAACACCATAATTCAAATGTGTCAGTTTTTCTGTGCTTTTTTCCTTATTCATTGTCCAACTCTTACATGCACATGAGACTAATGAAAATACCAAGGCTTAGGTCAGGTGCATCTTAGTCCTCAAACTGATAACTTTGCTCTTTAACACTTTTCAAAAGGTTTTCTGCAGCAGATTTGCATAATGTAATATGTCATTTGATTCTTGGCTGCTGTTCCATGAGTGTTGATTGTGGATCCAAGCAAAATGAAGTTTTTGACAACTTCAGTCTTTTCTCCGTTTATCATGATGCTATTTATTGATGTAGTTGTGAGGGTCTTTGTTTTCTTTATATTGAGGTGCAAACCATATTGAAGGCTATATATAGTCTTTGATCATTAGTAAGTATTTTAAATCCTTTTCATGTCCAGAGAGCAAGGCTGTATCATCTTCATATTGCAGTTGTTAACGAGTCTTCCTCCAGTCCTGATGCCATGTTCTTCTTCATATAATCCAGTTTCTCAGGTTATTTGCTTAGCATACAGATTGAATAAGTATGGTGAAAGGATACAACCCTGGCACACACCTTTCCTGATTTTAAACCTTTGTTTAACGACTTGTTTAACAATTACCTCTTGGTCTATATACAGGTTCCTCATGAACACAATTAAGTGTTCTGGAATGCCCATTCTTCATAATTTAGCCATAGCTTGTCATGATCTTCACAGGCAAAAAATCTTTGCATAGCCAATAAAGCACAAGTAGACATCTTTCTGGTATTCTGTGTTTTCAGCCAAGATGAATGTGACCTCAGCAGTGGTATCCATAGTTCCCTGTCCTCTTTGAATCTGGCTTGAATTTCTGACAATTCCCTTTTGATGTATTGTTGAAACTGTTTTTTGTTATCTTCAGCAAAATTTACTTGCATGTAGTATTAATGATACTGTTCGATGATATCCACATTCCGTTGTGTTATCTCTCTTTGAACTAGGCACAATAATGGATCTCTTCCATATTTGTAGGCTAGGTAGCTCTCTTCCAGATTTCCTGCCATAGATGAGTGAGCGATTCCAGTGCTGTATCACTTTGTTGAAAGATTTCTATTTGTATTCCCTCATCTTTTGGAGCTGTTTTTCACCAATGCCTTTAGTGCAACTTGAACTTCTTCAGTACCATTGGCTCTTGATCATATGCTACCTCTTGAAATGGTTGAACATCAAACCTTTCTTTTTAGAACAGTGACTCTGTATTCCTCCCATTTTCTTCTGATGTTTCTCCATCTTTCAGTAGTTTGCCCATAAAATCCTTCAATATTGCAACTCAAGGCTTAAAATATTTTTCCAGTTCTTTCGCTTCAGTTTGAGAAATGCTGAGCATGTTCTTCTCTTTTAGTTTTCTAACTCCAGGTCTTTGCACATTTCAGTATAATACTTGACTTTGTCTTCTCGAGCTGACCTTTGAAAATTTCTGTTCAGCTCTTTTACTACCTTATTTTGTTCACTCACTATGTTCAAGACCAAGTTTCAGAGTTTCTTCTAACATCCATTTTGGACTTTTCTTTCTTTCCTGTCTTTTTAATGACCTTTTGCTTTCTTCATGTACGATATTCTTGGTATTATCCAATAATTCTTCGGTCATTAGTTTCTAACGCATCAAATCTGTGTTTACGTTGTTCTGTAAATTCAGGTGGGCTATATTTAAGGTCTTATTTGGGCTCTCATAAAGTTGTTTTAATTTTCTTTTGCTTCAGCCTGAAATTATATTTGAGCAATTGATGGTCTGTTCCACAGTCTGCCCTTAGCCTTGTTTTGACTGTTAATGAGCTTTTCTACCGTCTCTTCCCACAGATGTCTTCAGTTAGATTCTTGTGTATTCCATCTGGTTGAGGTACGTGTGTATAGTTGCCTTTGCTTAAAAGGAATTTGTGACGAATACGTTGATCTTGCAAAATTATATAATGGCATGTCTAGCATCATTCATTCACTAAGGCCATATTTTTCAACTACTGATGCTTCCCTTTGTCTCCAACTTTTGCATTCCAGTCACCAGTAGTTATAAATACATCTTGATTACTTGTTTGATGAATTTCATACTGAAGAAGTTGGTAGAATTCTTTCATTTCATCATCACTGACTTTAGTGGTTGGTGTATAAATTTGAATAATTGTGGTATTGACTGGTCTTCCTTGTAGGCATATGGATGTTATCTATCAGAGACAGTTTTGTCCTTTAGGATAGATCTTGAAATGCTCTTTTTGATGATGAATGCAGTGCCATTCCTTTTGAATTTGTCGTTCCTGGCGTAGTAAACCAGATCACTGTCAGATTCAAGATAGTCAGTGCCAGTCCGTGTCATCTTACTAATGCCTTGGATTTTGGTCTTTTTGTATTACATTTCATTTTTGACAACTTCCAATTTTCCTAGATTCACACATTCCATCTAATTATTAATGGATGTTTGCAGTTGTGTCTCATCATTTTGAGTTGTGCCCTATCAGCAAATGAAGGTCCTAAAAGCTTTACTCATAGTTAATTCTACTTTTTAT